AAGAGGTTATCTTTATTTCTCGGTGGAAGTATGTGCTAGATCTTCACACTGAGACTAGGAAACTTGGTGCTAAATCTGCCTCCACTCCTATTGATGTGAATTATAAACTCTCAACTAATGATGGAGAGTTTTTAGCTAACAGGGGAGTAATTCAAAGATTATTGAGGGAAACTTCTTTACCTATGTATGACTTGTCCAGATATTTCATATGCTGTGAATGTAATCAGCCAGTTCATGCATGCTCACTCCTAGAGACACATATGGCTGTTGTAGAAAGGGTACTATCCTATCTTAAAGGAACTCCTGAGAAGGGTATATTATTTGCTAAACATGGTCATATGAAGGTGGAAGCATATAGAGATGTTGATTAGGCATGTAATGTTGATGACAGGAGGTCCACATCAGGCTATTGTGCTATGGTAGCTAGGAATATTGTTTCCTAGAGGAGTAAAAAGCAGTCAATGGTTGCTAGACTTTAGTTGAAGCAAAGTACAGGGCTATGGCCCATAGGGTTTCTAAGTTGTTATGGCTTAGATCTCTCCTTGAGATGGGTGTTGTGTGTGACAAGCCACTGATGTTATATTGTGATAACAAGCTGCTATTAACATTTCTACAACCCAGTTCAGCATGATAAAACTAAGCACATTGAAGTAGACAAACACTTTATACGGGAGAGGGTGGCTTTAGGAGAGGTTTGCCTTCCTTACATTGCACCAGAGGAGCAGCTAGCAAATTTTCTAACTAAAGGAGTTTCAAAAGCAAAGCTTCAATATTATGTAAGCAAGTTGGGCATGATTGACATCTATGCTCAGCTTGAGGGGGAGTGTAGTGAGAACGGGCCGAGTGGGCCTTAACTTCTTTATTTACTTAAGTAATGTTGTGTTTTGTGTTCTTTTAGTTATTGGGCCTTAGTTATGAGCCTCTTTTAAGTTCCTTCACCAAGACCAACATCTACTAAAACAGCAATCCTTAATTCATCATTAACATTGAACTTCCGGTTCCCTTTTCCTCCAATCTTCAAAAACTCCTGCAGGTCTCACAGATCTCCTTCCACCCCTCACCAAAAAATAAAATCATAAAGAGTTGTGTATCTCCTTTTTAAGTTTTCCCGTCTTTGTGCATTGTAACTTCTTTCCATTTCTACTTCCGTCTTTCTCCAACCTACATTTATTTTTTACCGTAAAGATCCTTCCACAAAAAGAGAAAACCACTCTATTTTTTTATAAGTAAAAATTCATTAAAAATCAAATGGGGTAGTACAATCTGATAGCTGACAAGTCATCACCCTAATGCACTGCAATCAGAAAATCAGAATGAGTTTTCCACATTACATAATTGAATACCCAGAACCTCACTTAACTTAATCCCCAGATCCTCCTTATCAGCTTGCCTAAATTCTGGGAGGACCAAGACCCAGTCTCCCACAGATCTGCTAACACCAGCTACCATCCAAACCCTACAGCAAGCTCTGCCCTCACAGTTCTTCTGTTACTCTCCTTCCATATGTTCCGAACTATAGCAAGAGGGATGCAGATCCAATTCAGTTTCGCCTTATTACTTCCGACCAACTTAGGCCGCGAAGCAAAGATATCTGCAACCTAAAACTGGGTGGTATCCAAAAAACCCCAAACATAGTAGTAAATATTCGCCACATGAAGCTAGCAACCTTGCAGGTGATAAATAGATGATTGACATTTTCCTCCTGCACTTCACATTCCAAATGTGTTTCTTGTAAACAACATCAGGGTTGTGATTTCTCAGAAATTTTTTTACCATCTCCCTTCTTCTTCCATCCCTCAAGCCTCTCACTTTCCAAGAAATCAACTTCCCTCCCAACCAAGAACACCATCACCATGTTTGTTTCTCTGACCTTTAGTGTTAACTTTCCATTTAAATTGGGACTCTTAATGACAAACCTCTTTGCTTTGATATGCAAACTCTTCTTCATGTTATTTTATCAAAACCTCAATCTTCCATGAATTAACCTTCTCCCAACTTGTATAAATTGTAAGGTTTATGAATCAAATCATAGGATTCAAACAGAAACTGTAAGATTTTTGAAGAAAAGGATTCAAACATAACATCGAAATAGAAATCCTCGGGATTCACAATTCAAATCATGAAGCATATCATTAATTGTATGGTTTTGACAACATTAATATAAGCATTACCATGCCTACAAGCGAATAAAGAAAAGTAAAAAACAAACAAACAATAGAAAAATGTAGTAATATCAACATATAATTGAATGGAGGGGATTTTTATAATTCTACCAAATATTAAGTATGACCAGTGCAATAAAATATCCTAACCAATAGACTCATTTTTCCCTAAGTTTTTTCATGTTCTCTACTTTCTTCTTCTCTCCTTTACTTCTTTCCCAGTTGTGTGCAGCTCCTGATTTCTAGCAAAAATAATCCATGATTAAGTCCAAGTTGAAGGTGCAGGATTTCCAGATTGGAAGGAAAAGGAAGTAGCCAAAAAATGTATTACTAGTACTAACAAGAGATGTTGCAAATTATGAGGCCCAGATACTGATATGGGCATGGAGATGGATACAGGAAATGGAAATACAACTCCATTCCAAAAATTCCTAGACACAGATCCGAGTACAGCTATCCTATGTAACATGTTTTTCTTTGAAGGATAAAATAAAAAAATTTATTAAAGAGAAAAGAAAAGAAATACATCAGAAAGGTGATAAGGAGGCATCACCAGGAGAAGAATAACAGCCTCAAGGCCCCCCAAACAAACCCTCTAACCTCACACTTTACAAATATTAGATTACCCCACCCATTCCAAGCAAATATCAAAGCAAAGCCCCAAGAAAACCCAACAATACAAAGGCCCTCAACCCAAGATCTGAACCAAATCAAAAACCCCTCCTCGCAGCCCAACCAAGACTTCAGTCTTCATCTTGAGCAAATCTTCCTAGATTGAAAATTCCTCATCCCATGACTTAGCTCCTTCCCGATAGGCTTTATTCAACTTCTCTTCCTTTTTTTTCTTTCGAATTCCTCAAAAGCCCTTCTGGCAAACTCCTCACCACCCCAAAAGCACAGACCCAGGCTTTTACCAATGGTAACCTCTCTTTCTACTATTTTCTGGATATTCACTCCACCTGAAACCCCGTTATTTTCATCATTATTTTGCTGCAACTAGTTCATATCAGGCTCAGAATCCACAACACTTAATTTGTTTCCCTGTTGTTCCTTCTCCGAAAGGGAAAACAAAGGCTGAACTTGCATCAATGTCCCCCTATAATCAGAGACAAGTGTCATGATTCCTCTCAATCTTTTCCTCCTATAGACCCATTTATAATTTTTTGTAGGTCTTGGCCCTGCCAAGCCGAGTTTTAGCTTAGAGAATATCTTTGTGACATGCACAATATTATGATTTCTAGAGCTATGCGGTTTCCTACTGACTATCCCGATGATCTATTCCCCTTCTTTCTCTTCAGTGTTGCTCCTTCAGCCCAAGTCAACACCCAACCTTACAATCCTCACCTCTTCAAAATGCAAAACAATCTCGGCGAAGTTGTCAACCTGAACACCGGTGGCTTTCCTAACACCTGAGGCTTCCTTGCCTACAATCTCATCTTTACTCGCAACCTTAACACCGCCACTGCCACTCCTTTTTCCATCCTTCTCCTCCCCCTTTCCAGCTTCTCTGAACCAACTGCACCATCCTTGTGCAAAGTCAAAAACCCTGATCTTTCACTGCCACAACGAGCTGTAGCTGAAACACCAGGCTCGGAGGAGGCGTGCTATCACCAAAGAAGGTGTGCAATTGTCAAAACTCTCTTCTGGATCGCCAACAACCCTCTTCTTGCCACTTTTATCAAACTTTGTAATCACCCATATCCATCTTTCACCCTTTCTATCTCTAAACTCCGTCAAGGTGCTCCTACATACAGTTCTGCTTTTTAAACTTGGTCTGTTGAGCCCTAGAAGCACTCCTCTACTAGATTTCTTAGCTTTGCTTTCCTGTCTTCCACTGTGCCCATAGCCGTTGAGATCTTGAGCTCCATTCGAAAGTCTTTTTGGATGAGCCGAACACTTCAGCCGTTCATGCTGACCAGAGGTAGAAGATGATCTCTCTACTTGAGTCATGTAATGATCTAAGAAGTCACCTGACCATCTTGCAAGAAGGCCCCTTGGTTGAAAGTGATTGAGGGCAGAACCTTTTTAAGCCTCAAAGAGAAGACCTTGGCAATGATCTTATAGATGCTGGTTACAAAACTGATGGGTCTAAAATCCTTTGGGTGACAGGCTCCATCTTTTTGGGAATCAATGCTAAAAATGTTGCATTCACCCCTAAGTTAATAACACTCCTACCAAAGAATTCGATGAAAACATCAAAGAGGTCCATTTTTTACAATCTTCCTAACAATCCTGGTAAAAAAGACATGGTAAAACTATCAGGTCCTGGTGCCTTGGGTCTATTCATAGAAAAAACAGCCTCCTTAATCTCTTCCAACCCAACTTTTTTCTATGTGATCCCTGAACTCCTAACTCAAGCATGGCCAATCCAACCCTTACACACTTAGACTCCCAATTAAAAGCCATCTAAAAATAGACTTGAAATGGTCCACAAAGGCCTTCAGCATCTCCTCCTGTTGATTAATCACAACTTCAATATCCAATCTTGAGATAAAGTTCTTCCTTCTATCATTGGCCACAACATAAAAAACCTAGTGTTCCCATATAATCTCTTAAAACATGAATCAGTAATCATTTCTCAAAATAAATACCATTTTACATATTTTACAAGTGTTAATGCTATATAGTACATGTAGAAGTACCGATGCATTATCCAGTATTGTATTCCAACACTCATAAAATAGGCATGCACATGTATCCAGGTATCATAGGATGCAAAGCCTAACAAGGGAATAGAAAATATCAGGTGTATGATACCAAGAAACAAGTTCCAATCATGACAAGTTACTAAAACAGAAACCTCAGCATTTTACAAGTAGTAACAAGTAGAGAACATACCAGAAAGATAATAATAGAAGAAATGCTGCTAGAAAAAGAATGCTAGGAAAGGCTGCAATAGAAAAATATATATCATTGAGAGCTCTGGCAGTACATGCTGATCTATATATTGACCCAACTATAGCAGGTTGTAGATGATTTCAAGCGTCAACATATCAGAGCACAACAACATACCCATAAGTATAAACCCACAAGCATGTGACCAGCACAACCATCCCTTGCAAGTAGCAACAAGGGTCGATATAAAGTAAACAAAGTAACCTGCCCAAGGTGAAACTAATTTAAGCAATCTCATAATTAAACTAAAGATGAAAAGGAAGTAGACAATGGATGTTAGACATCTATTAACCATCCAATCGTGGGTCGCAAGGAAGTATACTTTGTTAGACATCAGAAACTTAAAGTATCAAAATGATCACGAAAAGAAATAAGAAAAGATATGCATCACAGTTCACACAATATGATGAACCAATTAGACACAGAAGGATATATGAATTTTGGACTAAACTGAAAGAATTTAAAGATGAAAAATCAGAAATGAAAGATGAAAAACAAATGGCTAGACTATATGATAGTAATGATGAACAGAGATTTCAGCGGCCAGAGATTAGAAGAAAGACAAATAAAGAAAGAAGAGTTTCTGTAATAGAGAGAAAACAGAAAGCTTAAAAAAATAAGAAAAGATGGAGAATTACCAGGAGGAAGAGCTTCCACAATCAAAATTAACATTATTTAATACGTCAAATCAGACTCCTAGTTTTAATTACAATAATTCTATTTATATACTCAAATTATAAGGTCAGATCAACTTCTTTAGAATCCAAACACAATTTGAGAACTGCTAAACAAGAAATTCTAATTGGAATAGGTCTAAGACTACCCTGTATATAACCCATACAAACATTCATATAGTAACTCATAATTCCTACTACAACTCCAAAATCAAGATCAAAAATACCATCAGTTTTTCAATGTTATCAATCACCAATTCAATGGAACTACTCTTTCTAGATTCATGTTGCCAGCCTCATTTATGTGGGAAAGGTATAGATGAACATCACATCCACACATCCGCAGATGCACATTTTTACAAATGTAAGGTCATTATCCAAAGTTGGTCTCAACTGTCTGTGGTCTTGGGAGTGGTGGACTGGATACAGAGATTTTACAAATGTAAGGTCACATCCACACAAAGTAGCTGCTCTCAAACTCAAACCCATGTTCTCACACTTGTCATCCTGAGATTTTACCATTACAGCAAGCAATGACCCTTACATATTTTTACAAAATAGTGAGGATAATTCCACATGGAATGTATAGCATCTTTACTGGTGGAAATATCATGCTTCGGAAGAGCATGAGAACTCTCTAATGCTTGAGAAAGAAATTCCAAAATGGCATTTGACATATACCACTTCTAATATTGGTTGATATGTACAGTATAGTACTAAGTTTTAAATGGTCCATTAGAAGACATAGCTCTTGATAGTGTAATGATGGAACAAGTTCATGTAGCTTAACCCAAATAGTTGGGATATGGCTTTAGCTGTGTGGTTTAGTTGAGTATTATGTCAGATGATGAACCTTATATCATGAGTACCATGGAGGAACAATGAATATAACTTTGAAACATACTTCAGCAATCAAGAGAAACAGTTGACCTTTTCCTGCTATGAGATATTCAGCATTACTTATCTTCAGATGGAGATGATCAGATGATAGAACATCTATATAAGGAAAACATCCATGATCCACCCTTAGCCAGATACCTGAAAATGTTACTCAGTTGGGCTGTTTGGGTGATTGTAATAACCCATTCTTTGCAATGTTTGGGGTTTTTCTGTTCTTGAAGTTAACAAAAGTTATCATTCATTGATGCTAATGAAATATATATACATATATATATATATATTACCAAGTCCTAAGAATGTGATTGCAGAAAACAATGCATATCTTTATCTGCTTTTTGCATCAGAACACACAAGCCACACAAGCCCTATTTACCTGAACAGGGAAATTTCACAGATAATCTACAAAAGGTTAATTGCTCCAAAATGGAGCACTTAAAGTCCATAAGAACCTACTATAATGATATAACTAGAATGACATATTCATATTCGAGTTTGAGCAAATAATGCTTAAACAATGGCCAAGTTTAAGTTCAATAGACCCCACACCAAAAGCTCCTTTAAAGTTCGATAAGGATCTTACCTAGGTTGGCTGAGCCAATCATGAGATGGAATACCTGCAATTTAACATTACTTGCATCAAACACCGCATCTCTTGGATTAAATGATATAAAATGAAGAATCAAGAAGAACCATTATAGCACTTACAACTAAAATCAAATGGTGATATATATTTATGCTTATATGTTGATCTCTCTATTCAACAGGTAATCACCCCATACCAAGGCCTGTCTGCAAGCACCCTCGCTGGCTAATTACAGATCTAAAAGGGAAGCCCAGTGCACAAGGCTCCCGCCAATGCAGGGTCGGGGGAGGGACAGATGTACACAGCCTTAACCCTGCACATACAGAGAGGCTGTTTCCAAGATTTGAACCCTGGTCACCCAGGTCACCAAGGCCTGTCCAGAACATATCTGCACCCAAAACTGAGTACTGATGCCTTGCCCTTGGGCCGGATCCATTCAATTATAACAAACACTCAACCCAAGCCTGCCCAAGTTGCAATGTTACAAAATTCCATGCATTGAGACATTGGGAATTGAGTGAGGAGAGGAGGAACATCGTTTCCTTGTCATGTACATTCTATTTGGGAAGTGCTTAGGTGCTATCTCTATTCTCTACCCTTGTACTACCTATTCTTTTTCTCATAAATGAATAAATAATGCTTTATTTATTACCAATCAAAAAATCAAATAAAATAAATCTGTTTATGGCACTTGGAGTGGCTATAGAAGGATTTATGAAATTTATTGTGATAACAAAGTTGCAATTAATAGTGCTCATAATCCATATAGCATGAATGGAGTAAGCAAGTGAAAGCAATGTTTTAAAATGAGGAGGCATGACTCAAGGCACTCAACTATCCTAAGGCATAAGGAATAAAGCAGAACAGAAAAATGTGGAAGCCTCCCAAGTATGGATTTTTTTTAATTAAAAGTAAATAAATATAGTAAATATCCCAAAAAAATAGAAAACTAATAAATCATCCATAATTATAAAAGTATCATCAGCCATCAATACATTACTTGCAAAGTTGCAATCAAAATTTCTGAATTAGCAATTAACTTAACTTGCATAGAATTAACATAAAGAAGTCTGTCATCTCAAATTTAAATGAATGTAAAGCATTTTTTATAAGTAAAAATTCATTAAAATTTCATTAAATCAGTAAGGATAAGTAATTGTTACAAGCTTCATATAGGGAGGCATGAGGTGCACCCTCACTCTTAAAGAAAAAGCAGCACAAGAATTACAAATGAGCCCAAAACAACTGAACCCTAATTACCCCTTGCTTAGCTAAGGAATCAGCCAAAGCATTAGCCTCCCTCCCCACCCATTGTATAATCAAACTCATCTGTTGTGTTAACCATCTGAACTTCTTTATTTCATCACGATAACACCATATCACTGAATGAATCTGGATCTTCTAGCCAACCCACCACCACCTTGGAGTCCCCTTAGTAGGAATCTGCTGAATTAAAAAAATATGAAAAAAGTAGTTTCTTGAAAAGAGAAGGAAGAGAGAAGGAGAAGGGAAGAAGAGAAGTTGAAACGAAAAGAGAGCAATAATCTTGCCGCCCCCTTCACTTATTATTTATACTAAAATAAAAGAACAGTACAAAGACAACTATGCCCTTATAGGGCGGCAAAACGTAAAACATAATATATAACACTCAAAAAACATAATAAAATTGGACTCACATAACTACTGTGGTACCCACCTCCTATCTAACAACTAACATAAAACATCTACTCAGAAAAACACCATAAAACTAATAAATCTTCAACACTCCCCCTCAAATTGGGAGTAAATGTCACACATTCCCATCTTGCATAGATCATGTTCAAGCTTGTTCCTTGCCACCCCTTTAGTGAGAACATCAGCCAGCTACAACTCAGAAGAGACATATGGCAAACAAGCTTCCCTGATTGTTACCCTTTCTCTTATAAAGTGTCTATCAACTTCAATGTGTTTTGTCCTATCATGCTGAATTGGATTGTGGGCAATATTGATTGCAGCTTGATTGTCAAAGTATAACATCATAGGTTCCACTACTTTCACCCCAATCTCACTCAAAAGAGATCTAACCCAAAGAAGTTCTGAGACACCATGAACCATGGATCTACACTAAACCTCTGCACTTGACCTTGCCACAACCGCTTGCATCTTACTCTTCCAGGAGATCAAGTTTCCACCTACAAAGGTACACACTCCTGATGTAGACCTCCTGTCATCTAAGCATCCTGCCCAATTTGCATTTGTATATGATTCTAGCTTCAAATTCTTAGGATTTGAGAAAAGAATACCTCTGTCAGGGTGCTTTTTCAGATATGCAAGTATTCTCTCAATAGCTTCCCAGTACTGAACCCGAGGTGCATGCATGTACTAACTCACAACACTGACATCATAAGAAATATTTGGTCGTGTAATACACAAATACAGCAGTCGGCCCACCATTCTTTGATATCTCCCCACATCCTTTACCAATTTACCATCCACACCAATAATTCTATGATTTGGATCAATAGGATTGTCTGCTGGCTTGGTCCCCAGCTTCCCAGTCTCTCGCAGTAGGTCAAGTACATACTTTCTCTGTGAAATGAAGATCCCATGCTTGAATCTTGTAACTTCAATCCCTAAGACGTATTTGAGCTCACCAAGATCTTTGATCTCAAATTCTTGCTGCAATGATTTTTTGAGATCATCAATCTCCTCCAGATCATTTCCTATCACCACTATATCATCCACATACAAAACCAGAATTGACACCAGAGCATATCTCCTCTTCACAAAGAGGGTGTGATCCAGACTGTGTTTGTGTGTATCCAAAACGGATGAGTGCCCCTCTGAACCTGTCAAACCAAGCCCKMGGTGAYTGTTTCARTCMATACARAGATTTTYTGAGTCTGCACACCTTTCCTTTACCAACATTTTCATAAAATCCTTCTGGAATGTCCATATATACCTCCTCTTGTAAATTACCATTGAGGAAAGCATTTTTGACATCAAGCTGGAACAAGGGCCATGAATAGGTGGCTGCTAGAGATAAAAGGATACGAACTGAACTCATCTTAACTACTAGTGCAAAGGTTTCCA